TAACTTCAAACTTCTAGGCTTTCATACATGGCAGGTCTGGCTCATGCATGATTTATAAATGATAGCTATGGACCATTAAGATAGATTTCTCAGCTTTAGGTAGGCTATAATGGAGTTATATATTGTGATTTTGAATTTCTGAAGAAACAAAGTACATAGTAGTTGACAACCCAAACAATTGGAGTTCCATTTGCCCTTATGGAAGGCTTTTTTTAGGTATGGTTTTTTTCTTCCACCTTCTTTTCCTGTTAGAGCTCTGCCCTATTACAGTCTTTACTTCTAAATATAAGTAGTCAGGAGTTCTCACTGCCACCTTTTGTTCTATGGCAATGCTTATTTTTGTCTAAAGAACATCCTCCTGCAGAAGGTAGATGAGTCTTTTTTTGTAACAGTGCTAACAGAGAGAAGCAGTGTGGCCACTCACCTGTTGTCTTCATTAATGGTGAGACTGAAGTTTTGCAGTTGCCAAGATGTAGGATTGGTCATTCCTTTCTGGGGGGGGGGGGGGGGGCGAGGAAGAAGGTCTTGCATAGCACTGCCGTAAGAGCACACCGCACCTGAAGGGGGATTAGATTTTATTGTTTGTGCCACTCCCTGGAGAGCTTTTCTCTAGAGCTGCCCATAGCTCGGAGACCAGGATTTAAGGGCCGGTGCCAGGAAGCAAATGCTAACATGAGAAGAATCCGAGTCTCTGTTTAATCTGTGAGAATCTGCAACAGTTCACAGACAAGAAGGAAAGATATTAAGACAATGCCAGGGTTAAATAGAAGAACATATTTCAACCTGTGAAATTTCAGTTTGAGGAAAAATATGGGAGGGTTATTATAATTCTTAGAGGTTGAGTTTGGGCAGAACTGCTGAAAATTGTAAGGAAGGATTGCTTTTTATCTCTTTTTCTTCCCTAAAACATAGAGTGAAATACAAGGTTCCAAACCCATCTGGCCACACCTCCATGACATCATCTTCTTCCAGCTAGAATGTGTCTAAAGGCACCTATAACCTCCATGTAGTGGATTCTCACACTAAGAATCACTTATTGGATCATAGAAGTCTCTCAGCATAAAATAGTATAGTAATGACCTTGTCCTTCTCCTTCCCCAGTTCTAATTTAAAAGAGGAAGCATTTTTAAGTTAAATAAATATATATATTAAATATTATTACATTTTAAAATTATCTCTTCAAAACTAAAACCCAGAGAGAACTTTAAAGAATTGAATGGTAGGGGTGTGTAAACAAGTAAACTAACCTGCCTGACCTGCTTTCTTTTTGTACTAAGTATCCAGTCATATGATCATTTTGTAATAAATAACTGAGCCCTACACCCTTTGGGAAATTCTGGTTCTCTGTTCTTTAATTGTGGTAAGTTTGTTCAGAATATGTAGGCAGTGACATTCCAGCCAAGAAACCTGATCTAATTTTCTTCCTTCCCATCTTATTTGTATTCTCTGTGAAAAGCCCAAGCAGTTGCTTTAAATAAGTCTGGCCTGTGGTTAAAGTTTAAACCAGGAGTGAGATCCATCCAGAGGGGCGTGTTTCTGACACGCTGCCGCTCCTGGCCTAGGGGACTGAGAGTATTAGACCCCAGAAGCAGCCAATTTTGTAGTGCCTTTTAATACACAAAATTGTATTAACATCAACATGGATACAGATGGATGCACTGCAATAAACTGTAACCACTTGAGAAAAGCCTTTATTGACTTTCAAGTAAATAATGCACATTTTAAAGGCTCTAAATATGCATTTACATAATGTGCTATAATTTTTTATTGTGTCAACTGCTCACACACACACATCCATAAGAGATGTTTTTCTCCATCAAAATTTTGGACTCACACCATTCTTTGTGCATTGCATTATCACCATGCCAGATTCCTAGTGCTAGTTCCTCTTTTATAGGGCCTGGTCTGACAATCTCAAAATACATTTAATGAATTTTACTAATTGACCTATTGGTTGATCCATTCATTTAACCCCATTGATACCTTCTAAAAATAATTTTAGACTATTTAGACAAAAACTTAGGGACACTAAATACATCTAACTCAATATTAAAGAGAGAAAACAAGAAATGGGAAAGAAGAAAAACCAAATTGACACCATGTTGAAATGTTAAGTCTGCACTTCAGAGCAATGCAGGAACCTTATGGCTCTCATTGTTCAGAAGCGTAGCAGGTTATCCAGAAAAATAGCATATATTCATCACATTTAACAGATCTTTGCAATGTCTGCAATACAATTATTTTCTATTTGAAGAAATTAAAGGTCGGGGTCTTGAATGATTTATGTCCAGTCCTACAGTGAACTGTGGCTGAGCCCGAAAGTCTGAGACATGAGAAAGTAGGGGTTGTGAAGGATGACCCTTTGAAATGCACACTCAGCAATTGTCTAATTTGAAACTACAGGCTAAGTGATTTCCTGGTATTAATTAGGAATTAATTGATCCTTATAAGTCAGTCATTGTAGAATTAACTCCAAATAGTACCATGTATTCTCCGGTTTGGGTTCAAATAAATTCTATGCCACAAGGAAAAAGTGAATAAATTGTTTTATGTAAAACAAAACCAAGAAGCTAAGGTCTAAATTTAAGTTGATCATGGTTTTCTTTTACATATTTAACAACAACACAAAGAAGGTGAGGAGGTTTATTAACAGGTAAGGGAGGCATTACAAGATCCTATCAAATTGTTTCCTCTATCAAGTTCCTTTAACGTTGATCTGTCCAGTCTTTGCTCCAGTGAATATTTTCTGCTGGGCATCATTCTCTGTTGGCCACCACGATTTCATGATCTAACAATCATTCGTCACTTTTTATTGAGCACCTGAAGCAGTGCCACTTTATTATTAAGGTCAGCCTCCCAGGGGCTCTTGACAATGGAGTAGCCACTATTGTCATTGACATGCTACAGAAGTTGAGTATATCATTTTGTTATGCTCAGTACATCCCCAGCCTCCTTGGGGAAATGCCACATTCTATCCCTAACTAAAAACTATTTAGTCAAATGTAGGGCACTGGGTCAAAGTTTCTTGCTACCAGCAAGGAAGAACATACCATATCAGATGGAAAAAGAAAATTCCTTTGGTTCTTTAAAGCCAGTAGCACAATTGGCAGACTAAAAGATGACCAGAACTAATTAACTTTTTAGCGTGTGGGTTTTAATTCAGAAACCATATGGCTCCCAACATTTATCATACATTATATGAAGTCCTAAGTTTGATCAGTTTGTCTATAAGCTCCCTGGATTTTTGGCAGGTGAAAAAACACACACCAAAGTTTTAAGTCCATATTTATTTACATGGTGATTGTATTCATTTCTGTACCACTCATGTATTCAAACATTCATGGTACCTTCAATAGATAATTATTGGGTGCCAGACAGTTTCTGGGGATATGACAGTGAATCATTAAATGGATGGAAAAACTATTTACTAAAATGAAGAAGAGCAAGTCTGAGGGGTGGAAGGTGACAAGAATTCTGGTTTGAATAGGTTATGTTCAAGATGCCCTCAGTTGTATGATTGAAGACAAGAATACAAGAATTTGTGTTGGCTCAATGTTGTATCCCAAGTCCAAAGTAGGAGCCTGTGAATACTCACTGGCTAGATTAAAGGTTGCGTGAATGAAAGGGTCCCATCAAGTCATCTACAAGAGATGAACTGGACTGTTGTCACTACTCCAAACCATCTTTCAACTCTTTAAAAACTACATATGTCATTCTGAATCTCAAAATCCTAACCATCTCAATTATTATTCAGAAAATGCCCCAATCCTAAAGATATCCCAGTTAGGAGCAAAGAACCCACATCCAGGGATTCTTAGGGATGCATCCTTTCTTATAGTCAGTCCTTGGCTGTGCCAATATGGAGTGGTGGAAGGCGTGGCCTATCTTGCTTAGATTTCACTTCAGTTTTATGAGTTCTTCTCAGTATTAGGAAAACCACATTCTCCAAAAATCTGGGTATTCCTCTGTTTTCTCTTTGCAGGAGCCTCTTGAATTTAAATAAAAATAAGAAAAGATAAAAACTCTTATCTGCGTTTACTTGAGATCTGTTCCTTGGCCCTCATTGAGAAATGTGAGCTGCTGTCCTGGCATTACTTGCTTTGAGTATCTTCAGCCCTCTCCATGGGCTGCCCTTACCTGCAGCAGATTTTATTGATCACCCTTCCAACTGAAGGACAGCAGTGCTCTCAGAAAAATTATTCAGCACCTCACATACGTTTTTTAATCTAATGCAAGCTTCTTTCTGTGCCAGTGAGATTTAGCAGGGTTCTAATATAAGGGATAATAGTTTTCAGAGTCTTTTATCAGTTCTTATGAGCAGAGGGCCAACAGTTTAGCAGGGTCACTGGCTACTCAGCCTGTGGGTCCCCTTGCTCTAACATTATGCATTTTCAAGTTTGGCTTTAGATAGGGAAAAAAAAGAAAAGATGACAAAAAACCTTCCATGTAAAGTGAGGCACCCAAATTGCACAGGTTCATTAAGTGATCATTTACTACATACTTCAAAAAATTTCATCCTGAATTGGTCCCTAGAAATTTCCTTGAAAGGGGTATAAGAGCTTTAACAATGAATTATTGTCTATGGATAGCTCAGCATGAAAGGGGATCCATATGTGCACACTCGAATTTGTCATATGTAATGTCAGTTAAATCAGGTCTAATCTACCAAATACATTTTTTATTGCTTGCTTCATTAAAAGAGCTCTTAAGGTAATGAATAATCTTCAGCTTCACCAAGGATTATTAATGCCTTTATAACTCATGTCCACTGAAAATAGAAAGACAGGTTGAAACTCTACCCTCATCTAATCTCCATGTTTGTCTTAGAGCCTTAAGGAAGAAAGTCGGTCAGACCTTTCCAGTGTTAAACTCGGTCACATGAGCTATGCCATGAATTGGGTCAGGAGAAGAATTTTTTTTTAAACAAGTTGAATCGGTTTAAAAGCTGTGGCAAAGCATATCTTTTCTCATCTTAACTGTGACGTTTTCTTTCCCACCAGCAAGTCCACATGCAACACCATCGACTCTTCATTTTCCGACATCACCCATTATCCAGCAGCCTGGGCCTTACTTCTCACACCCGGCCATCCGCTATCACCCTCAGGAGACGCTGAAAGAGTTTGTCCAACTTGTCTGCCCTGATGCTGGTCAGCAGGCTGGACAGGTGGGGTTCCTCAATGTAAGGAAACCTCTTTTTTTTCTAATTTCTTTAGAAATATTAACCGAATGTAAAAATAACAAGGGGAGACCTTATGACCATGTGACATTGTGCTCTAATGTTGTGCTGACTGACTGCAGACAAATGTCATATTTATTCTAGATTGTGGGAAAGTTAACTTACCCTAAGAGTGATTGGCCAGGGTTTAAAAACAGTGTTTGTGTTAAGTTCGCAACTGTCAAGTTTACGGATATAAATCATCTCGAGGGTGAACTCTGTAACCTTCCAAGGTCCGTGGGCTGATAATTCCACCTCATGCATCCTAACCCTAGGGCTCACTGAGTTAGCAAAATAGAAAGACCAAATAATTTTAAATAATGGTTTGGGGTGGTAGGGAGAGCTAGGGGGCGGAGGGGACACAGATGTTTCAGATCAACTAAGTTGATATTTTTTAAAAATACAGTCTTCTAACACTTTAGATCAAGTTGACCAGTACTTGAACTCAAGATGCTAGAAGTACAGTTTATTATGGTTTGTTATTTCTGCAAGTAGTTATCTTTCCCACTTATCTTTGTATAAAGCTGAACAGGATTCAGTAGTTTCAAATGAATGTTTTTATTTATTTTTTCTCAAACCAAACAATCACAGTTTGAAATAGTATTCCAAATGTAAAAGTAATTTTTAAAAATCACGAATTTTATTTCAGCTCTGGAACTACATGTTTACAATGGATAGCTGTATCCCAAGGCCGATAATAAGACTAATGACTAGTAAATAATGACCAGCATAAAGCTAAATGTGATTTCCCTTTTCTCCTAGTAACTGCACATGAAGCCACAGATTTGCCGTAATTATTATTGCCTGGTTTAAAGTGTTATATCACACTGCCCTACCACTGATTTTCTTCCCTTGCAGAAACACCTGATTCTGCATCTCTGAGACAGAATAGGCAGCTTTGACTAATGTCTGGTGATGTGTTAGCAGATACATTTCTGTCTAGACAACAAATCAATATGGTGCCTTTCTTCTTTTTGCTTGTGTATTCATTTGCTTGGCTCATTCTAAAGAGTTCACTTATGGACTTTTAGCCCACTCAGAAATAACACACAGGCAAGTTTGTTGGCAAGAAAGCATAGCATTCTGATCGTCAGACGAGATAGTCTTTGAGGAGCAATTCTAAATATCTAAGTGAATGTCGATGAGGGAGTGAAACTGCCTCTGCAGAATCATTAAGCTTAAGCTTAAAAGCTAGGACAACAGCATCTCTTTCAACTGAATTTTGATTCGGGTCTGGAGCCTAAATATGAGCTGTTATTGCCAGTCGAAGAGTGTCACTGAAGTCTGGAGTCAGAAAGGCCACCTGGGAAACCATGAAAAAGCTGAAGTGATCGCCAGTATCAAGCATCTGACCTTTACATTTCTAACTTTTTTTAATAGTCTTGACACCATCCTATATAACTGTCAAATGCCCAGTTTTGCATTTTGATCCACATTTTATAGGCTATGAGGCAGTTCTCTTCATGGGACCATTTGGAAAAACTTAAAAATAAAATGGATTTTATTGCTTTCTTCAGAGGGAAATGTTCTTTTGTTAAAGAGCTGTTATTTGATTGTTCTAACATCAGGCAGCTAAATAAATATGACTCTTCATGGCATATGCTTATATCATTTAAATCAAAATTAGAAGTGATTTTTTTTCATAGCAGAATTTTGACAGCTGAATTTTAAAGTTTCTGTGCCTGATGTTATACAATATGTGTAGAAGTATTTAATGTTCACTTAACATATTTATTAAATGTTATATAATATCAACTTTGAGGAGTGGAAATAAAATATTTTTTATCTCAAATGCACATTTAGGCAACTTTACTATATCTATATAAATAGACATAATAGAATAATTCTGCAATCTATAAACACTTATATATTAAATAAATATTTAATAATCATGAGCATGATGACAAAGATAGGAGTTAATACAGAATTGAAACATTCCAAGCAAAAGTTGGCAGGTCATTTTACAGAACCGGATGCAAAGAAGGTTAACGGAATTCAAAAAATAAATTTAGGATGCACTGAGCAGGTACACCTAAGACTATGCTTTTGTGGAATGCCTTAAGAACAACCCAGCAACCCATATGCTCTTATGGAAGAATTCAAGTAGCTAGAATACTTAGTAATTTACATAAATGCTGCCTAATGAATCTTTTGTTTTAAGAAGCAGCTAATGGTTCATGTCTGTTTCTTCTCTTTCTTGTGTGTGTTTTGTTTTGTTTCCACCCTTGTAGCCCAATGGGAGTAGCCAAGGCAAAGTGCACAACCCATTCCTTCCCACCCCAATGTTGCCACCGCCGCCGCCACCACCAATGGCCAGGCCTGTGCCTCTGCCGGTGCCAGACACAAAGCCTCCAACCACGTCAACAGAAGGAGGTGCAGCCTCCCCCACCTCACCAAGTAAGTATGGCTGAGACAAGGCGTCGGTCACTGATGAGGCTCTGTGCACTTGGATCCACACCTAAGCTTAGTCTGTCTCTGCATAGACTCTAGTGATAGTCACAGATCCCCAACAATGGTCAGAGCATGAGTTTGCAGAACCAAGACCAGATCAACGTCAACACCACTCTAGGGTACTACCAACTACTCCAAATGTGGAAATGATTGGGTGTTTGGGTGAATAAAATGGTGTAACTGCATTCCCAGGACTGAAAGCAAGTTATGAACTATTAAATTTTGCATTTCATTTACGTGGCTTTGAATGCTACCCTCATGATTATCAAACAGAATCTACTTGAATGAATCTTTATTAGCAAAAAGTTTCCTCATACTTCTGTACAGCCCTGCCTTCCAGTGACTTACAGTCCCAGAGAAATGCACTTGATGAGTGTGAAGGTTAAACACCTCACACATCAAATGGGAAAAAAAGTTTAGACCAAAGTAGCGATGCAAAGATATGTACATTAAACATTCACCAAAAGTAAGAGCCTGGCAGAAGAGATCTGATGAGCTAGTGGTCATGGCAGTTGGTTGGCGAGGCTGGGAAGGGGGAGGAGATAAAAGGTAGAAGTGGATGGAAAGAGAAAAGAACACTTCGTTCTTCTCTGAATCATCTGGGACGTGTGGTCAGACAATATAGAATTTCAAAACCTTTTTGGATTATATGGATTGTTATTTGAAGAATTAGAAAGAGAACAGTTCTCCTGATATTTTAGAGATCACAAGAGGATAGAACACACAAAGTTGATTTTTATTAGTACCTGGAACAATGACAAAAAATAATGATGGCTGGAAGCATACTTTCAGATGATGGATGGACTGCCTAATCTTGACAAAGAGTGTGATGAGCACCTTCCCTAAAGCTTTACAGAGGGATTGGAGTGTGTAGGAAAGGTTAGGAACTGTGACAGTGACCCTAAGAAGAGATCTTCAAAGGTGGTGAGACTGGACACAAGGAATCTACTGAGGAAACTATTAGAGTAGACCAGGAAAGAAGTGTTAAGATCAAGAACTTGAGCAGTAGTTATAGAAGCTGAATGGAGGAAAGCTCGAGGAGGGTGTTTAGTAGACATGAGCTTTGGGATTGGGCTACCACTTAGATGAGTATAGTGAAGGATGAGTCAGGCCTCTCAGCTTCCTTACCTGTCAGTGTTGGTATTGTTTGCAGGTGGGAAAGTGCCAAAGAGGAGAAATGATCCTCTGTTGATACTGTGTTCATTAGATTTAATTCTGGGGACACTGAATCAAAATGTCTAGAGTCCCTCATGGACATGTGTTTGAGAGTAAGCTTTGGGTTATCTAGTACTTATTCAGTTTGATAATACATGCAGAAGTGCATGGCATCGAGCATGGATTCTGGTTTTACAGAAAAAAAATGTTGAGGGTCCAGGGATAATTTTGGGGAGACTTACTTCTCTTGGTAAAAAGTTGTTCAACACTTTCAGCAAAGGAGAAAGAGGGAGAATAATGACATAGGAAGCAAACTAGGCTTGGTTTTGGTCTACAGATCTCGGAAGCTCAGCTTAGAAAGAAGTTTCTGAGAAGCAGAGGCTCATAGGTGTGTCCTGCTTATTGAATATTAATGTAAAATTTTTAAACAGTTCATAGAAATAACCACCCCAAACTATTAAAATCTAGTCGCTGGGTATATTGGCTTACAGATTGGCAGCCACATGCCTCTGTGTCCCACTTTTCTGTTCCACTTTTCCCTGCCTACACAGGACAATGACACAGTCCTTTAAAACCCTGGTAGTAATATTCTACCTATTCTATATAAACATATCCTCACTTCTACTCTCAATTCAATGTTTCATGCATTCATTGTGTATTATCTAGTAATGGGGCTGGGACTTTTCTGAGTCCCTGCAGAAGAGCAGAAATACCATGTGCAGGTATTGAAGTCCAGAGGATAGGGGCTCAAATCCCCACCTTCCAAATTATTAGTTTCTCCTTGAATCACAGTTTTCTCATCTGTAAGATGTGGTTGACAATACCTACCTGGCAGGATTGTATGAAATCAGCCGTGATAAGCACCACTGCCAAATCAATTGGAGCATTTTATTATCAGTGAAAGGCTCCAGGCTGGGTAATGGTGAAATATGTCTTTAGAATGTGTAGAAGCTACTCAACACTTAAATCAGGTGCATGCCTTTTTGAGTCCACAGTTCGGGACTCCAGTCCTTGAATTGAATCAAATGCCTTGTATAAGAAGATAACCTGTCATCCTCTCATGCCCAGCCTCAAAATGCCAATCTATAAGCCAATATCCCCAGTGACTAGATTTTAATAGAGTTTGGGGGTGGTTATTTCTCTGACTTGTTTAAAAATTCATTTCATAGAGTTACATGTTTATAGGAACAGTGTTTAAAAGTTGTGAGAGAAAGGAGACTATCTAGAGAGAGGCCTAAAGTTTGATATAGGTAATTTTATACTTACTTTTTGAATCATAGGATTCTAGAAATGTAGACAAAACAAAATGTTCTATTGATGACATAGAAAAGTTTTTATCATCATAGATTTAGCCCTTTATTTCTGGGCTTTCCTGGGGTCTGTTGAATTCACAACAAGGTGTTGTTTTGCAGCTACATATCGCTTACTATCTTCTCCCTTATCAATACGACAGTGATAGTCTGGGAGGCCTGTCATTTAGCATAGGAGAAACCTCTCCAATTAAAAATCTCAACACCTACTGGTCCACGTTGAGAAGGGGTTTAAGGACCCCCACAAAACATCCTCTTCTATACCCTGATTTCTGAACCAATTGATAAATAAAATACAAGAAAAAATGAGATGGAAGACCAGGCTGTAACCTCTAGTATTAGAGAATATAGTTTATAACTCTGAGCAAATGTGCTTCCGAATTACACAGACAAATCTACCCATCACTGGAAGTGCTGGACCATTGCAGGCCTTGCTACATAGGATCTGCCCTCCATGTAGAGATGATGGCTATGTGCTTCCTGTCAGCACCTGTCTCCCTATGTGAGAGAGGCAAGGAAGGGGGTGGGACAGTCCAGTTTCTACTTCCAATCTATACAATGAGTGAGGGAGTGGAGAGGGACCACGGTGTAAGCAAGGGAAGAAATAGTAGGCATTAAGTAGCCCCCACCTCCTCCTCTAACATTTGTCTTTGATGTCTACCTTCCTTCATTCAGCCTTCAAATAGTGAACACTTGTCATGTGCCAATAACTGAGTTAACTGCTTGGGATACAGAGACAGTTAATCCCACTCTAAAGAAATATGGGATTTATAAAGGGAAACTTCTGGTAAACGGATGGTTCTCATGGGCAACATGGGACAAAGGCAGGCATGGGTGCTACAGGAGGACTTGGGAGAGGGAGTTTGGTCCAGGTGCAGGGCCTGAGGTAAAGGTTTTTTTGGAGGGGGTGACTACTAAGTCATTTAGTAGGGATAATATTCTGGTGTTTTACGTCTGAGAGAGAAGACAGAACTTTTCTTCAGAAACCAGTTTGTGGATTGGGATGTGTCTAAAATTGGATTACTACTGGATAAAAATTGAGGGAAAATATAGTTTCATAAATTATGTACCTTCTTAGAAATTAAAACCACAGGATAGTTGGATCCTGTTTATCTTTATCAGTGTATTAGAGCTCAACTTTAGCCAGAAGAAACATCATGACAGGGTATTAAGTACAGATGTTCAATGCCAATAGTATGTCTACATTTGATTTTCAAGTAAAAAGAGCTTAAAGGTAAAAGTAGGAAATCATGCCCAGGGTCTCCTGTATTACCAACTTTTCTGGGCCTCGACTCCCTTACCTGTTAATGGGAATAACACTAACTGCTCTAGCCACTCTCCCAGGCTGAGTGTCAGGATGAACTGGGGAGACAGATGTGCTGTGCTGTAGACAGTTAAAAGTCCAAGGCATTATTTCAATATCCTCTTATAATGAAATACAAATGGATGCCAGCCTAAAGCAGAATATGTATTTTTAAACTAATCAGTTGCCTCTGGCACCAGTACTCAACTTTGCAACTGTGGCCAGAAAGACAGGGTAAGGCAGATTTGGGGAGAAATCTACCTATGAAATAAATACATTATAATGGGGGGAAATCCTTACCTGTGCCCTAAAAAAAAAAGAAGAAGAGTAAGGGTGCCAGTAACAGTTCTGCTCTCTCTCAAGGAAAGCTATTGTACTGTTGATTAGTTTGGAGAAAGATTGATGTACTATGCCGGACCTCTTTAGGATACCATGACAAATAGAAGGGATAACCTGTAGAGTAATTCCCAATGGGTGTGTTTTAATCCTGCTGACTAACTACCTTTGTGGGTTTTAATACCCAGTGAGAGGATGTCAGTGCTTTCATTCATTTAGTAAAGAGTTATCATTGACCATCAACTACATGCCAAGCAGTGTTCTAGGTGCTATGATTCAGCAGGAAATGAAAGAGATAAAAATCCCTGATTGTATGGAGCTTTTTATTTTAGAGAGGACAGAAAACAAAATAGTAAATAAAATAGGTAGGAATGATGTCAGATGGTGATATGTTAGTGCTACATAGGAAAATAAAGCAGAAGGGAGGAGTAGTGGGGGTGGGATACAGCTATAAGCAGGGTGGTAGGAGAAAGCCTGTCTGAGCAGGGAAATTTGAACGGACCTCACAGGAATGAGAGGGTGAGCCATGAACTATAGGGAGAGTTTTCCAAACAGAAGGAACAGCCAGTGCAGCCTGGGACAGCCCAGAGGCCAGAGTGGTGAGAACAAAGTGAGGGATGGGTGAAAGAGTAGGAGGAGGAGAGGTCAGAGAGCTCAGTGGATGAGTTTGGGAGCTCGGAGGACAAATAATGTAAGTTCTTATAGGCCATTGTAAGGACTTTGGCAATTGCTGTGAGTTAGATGGGAATAGCAGAGTGAGACTACCTAGGTTTTAATAGAAACACTTTGAAGGCTTTGTTAGAAATTGATTGCAGGGGGATAAGAATTAAAGCAGGGGGACC